CTGCCACTGCTCAGATCAGACAGAAGTGCATGCCTATTCGATGTATCCCCATGCTAAAGCCAAAGAGCTTTTTCCTTTAGCCTGTTATTTAAAGCAAATCCCACTGAAATGGGTGTTATGCTTTCTGAGTGGAATAAACCAATCCAAACCGCCACTCACTGCAGACAAGCAGGAGGGCTTCGACACTGTTTAATACCATCAGCACAGACAGTAAAAAATGTCAAGCTATGTCAATAGGAAACAAATGTGATAGAAGATATAATGGATAGGATGAGCCAGTACCCTTACAAAAAAGTATTATGGTGCAGTCAAGATATCAGATGGTTCATTTGATATAGACCATGTTACTGAATAATTCATACACTCTAAAAAATGCTGGGTTGTTTCAACCCAAATTTGAGTCAAATATAGACAAACCCAAATGTTGGGTTAAAAATGCACTAAAAAATATACAGTTATAAAGTAAAAGTTGAAGTTTGGTTCAAATTTTAAACTACATTTTTAACCCAACATTTGGGTTTGTCCATATTTTACCCAAATTTGGGTTAAAACAACCCAGCATTGTTTAGAGTGTATAGTATGTATACTGCAAGGTATTTCAAAGAATATCATGTACAAAAAAATTTTTTTTTTTTTTTTTGCAAATATGTTATTTATGTACATTATGTACTATTTACTAAGGTTTTTCAAATCTCTATAAATGACCCATATAAATATACCATGAGAATCATTCCAGACAAAACTTATCAAGTATTGACGTGTTTGAGAATTAACCTGCATATTACACTCTAAAAAATGCTGGGTCATTTCAACCCAAATTTGGGTCAAATATGTAATGAGAAAAATTACAGTTGGGTTAAAATTTTAAATGGCATTTTTAACCCACCATTTGAAACCCAGCATTTCTTAGAGTGTACAGATACTCACTAAATAAATAACTAAAACGAACTGAAAATGCTGTGTTTTTAAATATTTATTGTATAATTTTACCAGTTTAGGCTATCCTACACTCTAAAAAATGCTGGGTTGTTTTAACCCAACTTTGGGTCAAATATGGACTAACCCAGCCGTTGGGTTAAATTTTTACATTACATTTTTAACCCAACATTTCGGGTTTGTCCATATTTGACCCAAAATTGGGTTAAAACAACCCAGCATTTTTTAGAGTGTAAAAGCGATCATCCTAAAAGTACAATATAATGAGCAAAACAATTAACCAAGCAACAACACAAATAGCTCTCAATATTACATTAATATTAACTCAATCAATAATCAATAAGATGCAAGATGCTGCCAGTTGCGTTTGTACACTCTAAAAAATGCTGGGTTGTTTTAACCCAACTTTGGGTCAAATATGGACTAACCCAGCCGTTGGGTTAAATTTTTACCTTACATTTTTAACCCAACATTTCGGGTTTGTCCATATTTGACCCAAAATTGGGTTAAAACAACCCAGCATTTTTTAGAGTGTATGAAACAAGAAAGTACTTGTTTCGGTTCCCAGTCTGATACAGCACTGATATGGGCAACAGTGACATTTCCAAATGTGAACAAACTTGCTTTAGTATTTTATAGCTCTGATGTATTTTGGCACTTTCGACTCTTTCCCTTCAACTTTTTTGTTGAATAACGTGCCCTCACAGACCTCCCTTGTTTTTTAAGGTTTCAGAGCCAAGTGGAGTGAAGTGACTACGTGAGAGAGGGAAAAATACGAAAGAGTCTCCCGAGGCCCGGCTCCCTCCAGTATCTCTGTTTTTCACTGTCAGCACTCGCGGAGCCCCGGTATTGAGACCTGCGTCCAGCGGAGCATTGAGGTTTGTGAGGGAAAGAAGAATGAGCGAACTGGGGGAGAAAATGGCCATCAGGGACAATCTCATTTACAGATGAGAGACTTTTCCCATCACTGCCTTCTGTTCCTCGTGAATCTCTCACTCTGTCTCTCCCTCAATAATTAATTTCTTTCTAACCCCTTTCGATTTATATGGCTCCCTTCTTCTCTTTAATGACCCTCCCACATCTCTCTTTGTGTGATGCTCTCTCTCACTCTGCCTCTCCCAGGTCCTTGTCCGTTCTAAGAGCATCCATCCATCACGGCAGCACAGAGTGGATTGGCTAATACCAGCTCAGAGCTCGGAGAGCAGATCTGACCAGCTGAGCTGCTCACAATCCGTGCCTTATCTATCAGAGATCCCCCCGAGCGTCCCTCGTTCTCCCTCTACATCCCACCACACCCCTCCCTCCCGCGTATATGAACACGACTCGTCCTCCCATGCATGTACTTACTAAATGAAAACTATAGTCAAACCAAAATTTATTCAGACACCTTCAACATTTTTCACATTTATTCGCTATATTAGAAATGGTAATAAAATATGACAAGAACTTGTTCTTGTAGTTAGTAAATCAGTTCATATTTCACTGGTTTTGGCTATTCTTCTGTCAGACTGTCTTACAAATGAATTAGGTTGAATCTGTCAGCTGTTAAATTTAAGTTCACAATTAGATAATAGCAATTGACGAATTACCAAGAAATGCTTCGTTTTGTTCAGCCTGTGGTGTAAAAAGGTCACATTAGTGATTAAAGAAAAAACACTTAAGCAAAAAATGGTCAGGTCAAAGTGTTTAAATAATTTATGGTCCCAAAGTTTTAGAAATATATTCCACTGTATGAAGAATTGTTGGTCACAGTTTAGTTTATTTTGCTATTCTAACTTACATAAATGAACAACAGTGTTCCGCAACCACTCTAAAAAAATATATAAAAAATGATATCTAGTGTCTGATTTTTTTTGTTGGTGTGTGCTAGTGTGTGTGTGCCTTATAATGTTTCTAAGGGTTTAATTATCTGAAAACCTAGCCTACATATCAAGGTCAACTGTAATTGTATTAGGTCATATTAATAAAAGATTGATGCTTGAAGTCATTTTGTTGTCATGTGACAAGAAAACCATAAAACACAAAAGAAAAAAGAAGAAAAGAAAAGAGAAAAGAGGGCGCTGCAGGTTACGAGTTAATGCTAAGACACTGACATCAAGAGAGGAAACCAATCGACTGCGGGCAGCCGCCCAGATGTGCTCGTCCACGGTGCACATTCTCTCTCTCTCTCTCTCTCTCTCACACACACACACACACACACACACACACACCCTCTTTCTCTCCAACATCTCGCTAAAATGGAACACTTTGATTCAAGGCCCAAATGAAAGGGATGACTGTGTGCGTGACAGAGTTGGAAAAACACATGTGTAGCTCTTCTTACGCACAGCTTTCATTGAGCAATCTCCGCTATAGGCTCAGCTGTGCTGCTTAGCTGTTAATGTGAGTGTCGATGACAATTAAGTCGCGTTACAATTCTCGCCCAACCTCGGTTGAACTAATGACACGACTGTCTCTGCAGCGCGCCGCGGAGGAAGCGAAACAAAGGGGGAATAATTACTCGCTCTCAATACTTATTGGAAAGAACAAATGACAGGGAAGCGGGAAAGAGGTGGAGATGGAAAGCAATTGCTACATATGATGTGATGAGGTTGGTGCGTTTAGTTCAGGCGGCACTTCGCGCTTCAGCCGCGCAGCTCTATTCCTTCTCCATTGAGAGCATTCAAAGCGTGTTAAAAGCGCCACATCAGCGAATCGCTGTTTCGATAGAAACCCAAACTGATCTCTCATTAAGTCTCCTTACGCACTAAAACATTCATACAGTGCGCGATTACAATGGCTTGAAGTTGGTGGGACTATTAAACCAAATTCAAGTAAATCATTGATGTAATTTTTCGTGCGCATCTGTCGAGGTTCATCTCGCGCTGCGTAAACTGCTATCTGTACTTGCCTCTAGCGCGGTGTAAATTAATTGTGTTTAAAGTTTATTTGTGATATGCAAATCTATGATAAAGTCATATTTGTTAGCATACGTTTTATGTAAAGCCAAAAAAAAAAAAAAAACGATTGCGATGGAAAGTGCGCTACGCGCGGCGTTGTTATGGTTACCTTCTCTGGCAAACGCAACTTCTTCGTTTCAGTATGTTTGGCGAACGGTGAAAATACGCAGTCTGGCTAACGTGTGGTCTGACTTTTATAACTACTTAAAATGTTTTAAAACCCTTATGTGCTATTTACATGAGTGGGGGGAAATTATACTTTTTCTTTATCTGAGAAGTAGAACTTTAAGCGTCGTTAAGGGTGGTTTCATTCCAAATATCTTGGACAAAGGCCAAAATGATGTCCAATACGATCAGAAGATTGTCGCCTCCAATTGTGCGCAAATACTGCCAAACGGGAAATTGCGCATTATCTTGAAGATGCGCTAAAAGTTAAGTAACATTTCTGAACAATAAATGGCAGCCCGCGTTATGCGGATCATCATTATCTCTGTCGCTCTAACTTATTTGTGTTCATTAGGAAGGAAACGTAACAGCATTAGGATTACAGTGTATATGTATTGTCTATTCATAGATCATCTGGATTGTGCATCTGGGGCTAAACCACATGCACTGCTTCCACGCCACATGTGAACCTGCCATTGGAACAAGTGGAGGATGAGGAGGAGGAGGAGGAGGAGGAGGAAGAACTAGTGGGAGGCGCTCATTTAGTCACTCTGTCACCCAAATCATTTGTTAAGAATATTGTTTTAATATAATACAAAAGGCCCGTATAAAGTTATGCCTTTTCAATTTACGATTGTCACGTTTTAAATGAGATTTTTATCAAGACTTTTAACAATTGTATTCACACTATTTATTAAATATCCATTTGACTCGCAAAAAAACGGATACAAAAAAGATCCGCTTAAGTTGCTGTTGCACCCATTGGACTTAATTTACGAACGTTTTTACGTGCTACATATAACGATGCTTTTGGGAAAGCGCGCTACTTGCGCGCTACTACCGCTCTGCTTAGCGGTTATGGAAACGCAGCCAATATCAATTTGCAGCCATTAACTAGGTAATCAATGTCACAGTTTAACGCGAAAACCGACCCAAAAGAGAGAATGAAAAGCAGTTTACCTCCGTTTATGAAAGCGAGGGCATTCTCCTTGCTTCAAATGTGACAGGAGTCTGAAGACAGATGTTTGTTTTAAACGAGCTCACTTTCTTCTAACTCCAGCCAAGCTCGAACTCGATCGCCGCCTGTCCATCACACGCAGAGCGAAACGGGGAGTTCATGAACCGAATTTGCCCATTATTTTGCGAATCTCTTCACCAAACATCACCGACGGGATGAACGAGAGAGGACGAAAAAGAAAAAGCGAAAAGCACCGTCAGCGATTGAATCTCAGAAAAGAAGTGCGTAAATCCATATGGAGGTTAGTAGACTAATGGCCTTATAATGTTCCACGCATGCTTGTTAGGTTATTAACGGCTGTCTTCCTGCAGAACCGCTGGGACTGTGAGTGATGAGGAAGTCTGCGATGATAACTGCGCCTCGCACACTCCTCCCGAGCTGCGATCGATTTGACAAGAGAACTGCGAACTTGCCTTGCTTATTCCGCGCACGTGCGTCGGCTGCACCCCCGCCCCGCGCGCGCGATCTTTCAAGTAGCCACGCTAACTGATGTCATTGCTTACAAGTGTTGAAGTGAGCGGCTGTACTATAACGACAGCCTGGCAAAAAAAAAAAAAAGTGAGTGGAAAGGTTTTTAATTTTTTACACCTCCAACCTGCCCTGCCTCGAAGCGTAGTCTTGATTTTACCATGCGCTCAAACAGGTTAATCCTTTAAAGGTCGATTTTGTCTATTTCGTTCAGTCTAGCCGGGACTCTTTTGATTTCTATCAAGTTGCAAATGATGTTATCAATAGCCAATCACACCCTAACACCCCTCAACTTTGAGCCTGGCAGGTGAAAATAAATCTCCATCATAAATAAGAGTTCTGGATGCCCTTATCCTACCATACCCTACACAAAAAGGTCATTTAGAGGTTTAACATCTGATACCCCTGAAATGTTTTATTTTCTCATTATCACACTCCGTCTGACTTTAGAGGGGAAATAAAAGTCCTGTACACATCAACTACCCTTTGATATGCGTCTCCAATCCCCGGTCGTCTCGGCTAGGAAATTGGAATCTTTGTCTCCTTCATGTATAAAAAAAAGAGGGAGATAAAAGGGGTATTCAGTACAACAAGAAATATAACCCATTTGAATCATCGTTTTAAAAGTACTGCCATTGCACTCAATATTCCATGCTATTTATTTTCACCATTGAACATCCTCTTCGGCCCTGACATTTACCTAATAAAATATTAACCAAACTACCCTGTGAAGCTCTCAAGATGTTCGCTACTTGTTTTCACTGACCTCGGGCAAAATTGCTGGCCAATTGCACTTTTGCAGAGAGAATGTAAGGAGTCATCACATGTTGTGGCGCCATGTTTAGAATAAAAAGATGTGGCTGTAGACTAGTGTAAAAGTGTACAAGTGATGAAGTGAGAAAAAGCATCTGTATTGATTGATCAGATCATCAATCAGGTATATCAATTAATAAGCCTCCCATAAATGAACGTATTATAAGTCAAAGGGAATTGATAACTCCTCCACATCATTACACTTGTCATTGCATAATATTCTATAATTTACATCTCTATGAGGTAAGGATAAATAAAATGTAGCCTAATCTAGCGACTACAATTGGACATGGAGTTTGTTTCAGCACCATGGACAGCACTTTTCTTCACAATGGACTTCCATTCACCAGTCAAGCAAGTTGGATGCTTCGGAAGAACTGACAGCTCCAAGAATGCATAAAACGTACAGCATTTAATGTACAACTGGCATATGAAAGAATACAAGTCATAATAATGCTGACAGAGTCGAATTGGAGGAAAGGGCACAAATGTCGTTTATCAAAGAGCTTGTGTTATAGGATCCCCGCTGAGACTTCTTCCTTCTGAGATTGTTCTCTCAAAGGACTAAGCATTATAGAAATGTCTGATCATAACTTGAGGAATATTTCTTCCAACACAATCAATATTTCCACATTTATCCTCTGAAAGAGAATGTTTTCTTGCTTTGTGGGACGCCTGTAGATGTGGGTATGTAAGATGAGCCGTTGGTAATTGATTTATTTCTGTTCAGTGGTGAGAATTTTTTTTTCTTCTTCTTCGTGAGATGAATCAGATTAAGCCACGATGATACATGCAGGATAATGGATATTATGCATGAAGACAATGGAAATGGGTGATGGATGATCACAAACAAATCTAATCTCGGTTCCAAAGCAGGCAAGAATGGGAGAATCATAACTGAACAGTGCCGAAGGATCATTGCGTAGCACTCTGTCGAAAGTCAGAGCGAAAATTCATTTCCTGAAATATTGACACTCAGGGAAGAAGGATAAAAGAGACTGTGTGTCATATGGAGCCAAAAGACAGCAGGGCCAGACACGAAAGTTTGGGCTAACAAACAGCCAGACAGATTTTGGCAATAAATATTCTGTTTTTCATTAAAACATGCACTGCTTTTTCTTGGTGATTAAAATGGTATCTAATTTTCAAACAGTGACAATAAAAAGCTGACACCAATGTGTTTAAGGCATCAACAACAAAAACATTTTAATGTTTTATTTATTTAGTTAATAATATGGAAATAAAAAATAGTCATTTGTATTAATAAATATATTCAATTTTAATACAAAATAAAAGCTATTATTTGTAATTTGTCTCTGTTTAATTTTAGATTTTATTGCACATTTTCTATTTAAAATGATTACACATTGATCCTTTTACACCGTAAAAAGTGGTAACTTCCAATAACTACCACCACAAAGTGACATCATGCATAAAAAATAGTTTTGTTGGTATACATCAATGTATTTGCTTAAAATCGGGTAATTTAGAGTTAGTTTAGATTAGATTAAAATAGGCTAATTTAGTGACCATTACTTTTTTTTTACTGATATGCCCTTAATAAAATTATTAAATAAACTCTTCAAAGACAAGTGTTTCCTCTTGTTGTTATTAACTCTGTGTTTTGTGAGGTTAGCTCAAGTTTGTACACTGTAAAAATGTTCCACATATTTTAAAATAAAAACTTACATTCAGTTGCTGCCTAAAACTTTTAAGCATATAGCCTAGTTGTGCAAGTCATTAAATTAAAGTAAACTTAAATTATATTAAACTGACTTGAATCTTATATAACTTATAAAAATACTACATTATTTAGAGTTAATGTAAAAACATAATTTACTTACTACTGAAAGTTGTGTATATATATTAGGCCTAAATATACAGGCCTATTATGTGTCATGAGTCATGACCTTGAGCAAAAGAACAGCTAATGACTAAATGGACTAAAAATTGGCAACCCCGTTCTTAAAGGCACAGCTATAAATACATTTAAAAAAATTAAATTTAGCCTAAGATGACACCACCATCCAATGTATAGGCCTACTCTTATAATATTAATATAATCGTTTAAATTAAGAAATTGACTTCATAAATTACATTTCCAAAACAGAAAACACATAGCCTACATTTCGAGGAAGGAACGTTATAATCATCCTGTTTCCTCAGAGGTAAGATTTACATGATGCAGTGTATGAGGAAGAGAATCATACAGGGTTTGGGGAGCACATTTCTTCAGCAGAAGAGAGGGAAAGGAGGGCGGTAATAATTGCTCACTCCCAAACAATTCCACCAGTGACATCCCATTACTTTAAACACGACAAAATAAGGCCACCCGCGAAATTCAGTGAAAGAATCCACTGAATAAGACATGAAGGGAAAAGGGTGGCGTTATTAGCTGTGTGGGGTTCATCATTAGAAAGCACTGAGACGGAGAATAATCCTTCACGCGCGCGACTATAACTCTCCTGTTACTTGCAGTAATTACAGAGCAAGTGCAGCCCGCCGTTTGTAATAAACTGTCTGTGTTCGAGCACACACTCATTTAGCCTCTCTATAACAACCGAGAGACAGTGAAAGCAACGTAACTTTATCATTTACCTCTGACAAGTGCGTATACGCGGTAGGCCTACAAGACTGTAAATCAGTGAGAGAGCAGTAAGAAGATAAAATCTAAAGTAGCTTAAAGCTATCGTAATAATGTCCCAAATATAAATATATAACGCCATGGATGGATTTCACAAACTTCAGAGAGTTAATAATCTTACAGTTCGGATGAAACGGGACATCAGCGTCATGGTAGAAATTCCAAAGAAATGATAGCCTACAGAATTATTAATAATGTTGTACCGCCATCTAGCGGCTACAATATACAAGTGAAAGAGCGTGAATATTTTGTTATTCTGTGTAAAAAATAAAAATAAAAAAATCAAGTCTCAATCATAACATATTCATCTTAACATAATGGATAAAATATTACACTCACATTTTTCAAGATGGAAATATTTTTCTAAATTAACTGTTTTAGTTGGTCACATTTAAATAAAAGTGGGGGTGTTTTGTAAATAAAAATATTTTTTATTAGAATGTTTTGTCATTTCTCTGGGTGCTATGCTATGCATATAAAATATTCCAGGTTTTTCTTCATTTTCCCCCATTTAAAATGTTTCAAATGAAAGCTTTTCTTGGTAATAGTTTCAACTGGTAATAATTTAACAGGTATTTCCTGTATTCTCAAGTCCCCGTTTTCAGCTTTGAGGTCACAGAGATTAATGGCAGTGACTGCGCATCTCAAACCAGTACACTTTTTGTCTGTCATATAGAGGCTTATACTATAAAACACCAGAAATAAGTCAAGTTCTTGTAATGACTGATTTATGATAAAGGCTAAATTTAGTGATATCCATAAATAATATTTTATTTATTTGTACTTATTTCACAATGTATGTGAAAAAGATGAAATATTGTACACAATTTTTTTTAATAGTTTAATTTAATTTTCCAAATACAAAACAGATGTTTTCAAAAACAGTCAAAAAAAAAATCATCATAGGACTTCTTTAAATACTTTGACTTCAACTCAAACCAGAACTTAAAATTCTGACACTTTTCAGCAACTTTTGCAATTGTTCAGAAACTTTATGAAGGGTCTGAGGATCTTAATACTGATAAAAAATATTTTATAAAATGAAGCAATACTGAAATATCTTAATGTGTGCAACAGGACTGAAGTACAAATCCCTTAACATAGTTTGCATTTACAAAATGACTACTTTAACGGGCCAAAGAAATAAAAAAGTAAGTGAAACTGTAATAAATATGAAGCTGAGGTCATTTCCCTTGCCTAAATGCATTAAAAAGGACAAAAAATACTTTAAATATGGTTTGACTGTAATAAATAATGCTACCAAACTATCTGGGTAGACTCAACATTAGTTACAGTACCCAAATCCTGATCACCTGATTTTTTGGGTGGGGAAAGTGCTGTCTAAAGATGTCTTACAAACTACATTGGAATTCAACCCATAGCCAAATAATTCACAAACCTGCACTTAAATCAGGTTTTAAAAGTGTAGTCTCTAAAAAAGCCCACATACTGTACCTGAGAGGAGGTACAAACCACACAAAATACACAAACCAA